TGCTAGAATAAGTCTCTACTCACAACCAACTTTACATCTAACCCTTGCCCTAAATCTATCATTTTTTACAAACCTTAGGTCTCTACCATTTTGCACAACATAAGATGTCATTGCTTCCCTAAAATCACCATTTGAACTAAAATATATTCCCACATCCCACTTGTAATCTGACATGTCTTTTGGCTGTTTGAAAATTGGATGTTTTTTTCTTAGAACTCCACTATTATCATCACTGTCATAGCCACTTTGCATGTCCTCACTGTCATTGTCACTCCCTTTGTCTTCTAAAGACTTATCATTAAGTTCTTGGACTTTTCCATTACCATCATTTTCATGACCAATTAGGGTATCAAGTTCATCCTCCTCAATCTCATCACACCCATCAGACTCATCCTCAAAAGCCACATCTTGTGCACTATCATAATTGTAGTCCTCATCTTCACTATCATCAGAATATAAACTTAAGTCATCATCCATTGCAGGTTTACCTTTTTCAAATCCAACATTAACTTCTTCCCCTGCAGGATTCCCTTGTTCAACTCTAACATTAATTTCCTCAACTCCAACAGTATGTTCATCCACTGCAGGATTCCCTTGATCAACTCCAACATTACCTTCCTCCAACCGAGCAATGGCTTGATTAACTCTAACATCACCTTCCTCCATCACAACAGTGGTTTGTTCAACTTCCACAACTTCATCATGCAGTTGACTAAGTAACTCCTCTACCTCATCTACAATTTCAGTAGGGTCCTCGTCAACTTCATCAACAACAACATCATAGCAGCCAGGTTGATACAAGGTGTGATCAATATAAATATCAACATTTTGGTGCACCCTATAAAGATTTGCAATTTCTAAAGCACCATTGTCATCAACAAGTGTATTCATCCCAAATTGAGGGTCCTTGCAATATATTGTTTCAAACTCCCTATAACCTAAGTCTTCCAATACACCAACTAGCTCAAAATAACTCCATTTGTCTACATCTACTCTTAAGTCATCTACTTTTCATTCTCATATACACTATGACCTTCATCGGTGAACTCACCACTATGATGAATTTTGAGAGTTATGTATTCATTCAGGATACCTAATCATATCATCTAAATAATTAGAGTTTACACTAATTTTTTTACATAAACCCTAAATTTGAACCTCTAGCAAATATTGCCCTATGAGATTCGTAAACCCTAAATCAGAGAGAAATGAACTAACCTTTTGATAATGTCTCCTTGAATTGTCTTCAATCCTCCACCCTCAATCCTTCACGTCTTCAATCCTTCGTGTTTTCAATCCTTGAATCATCTTTAATTATTCATTGAGTTTACCTGGAAAAATGTCTTATCTTCTAGGTAACAGAAACCAAGGTCAAAGGGGATTTGATTTAAGGCATTTTACATTCACGTCAGCAACATCAAGTCCACCTGAACAAACGTGGCATTTTTTTTCAAACTTTGACTAACAACAACAAACAGAAGGATAAACGTGACACCATTTTAAAAGTGAGAGGACCAACTTGACACTTTTTAAAGTTAAGGGACCAAACTGGACCCTGAGCTAAATTTAAGGGATGAAAAAGGTTATTTTGCCATCAATAAATTGTTGTTATTCAAATTAAACTATAAGAGAAGATATGGATATGATGAAGGAATCAGGTCATCGACCCATAATCTATATGTTAAACAACGTGAGATGAACGATGAGACAGATGCAATTTGGAGAATATTGATTGATATAAGTTGGTTTTCAAATACAAATTAATTTTTAGATTATAAGTTTCTATGTCAATTTAAATTAAATGTATTTTCAGTGAAGGGTTAGTGAAACAAACAATCTACATAGAATATAATCAACTCAACTTCATCTACTGTGCAACCTGCATAAGAATTTAAAGAGCAAAACATTGCTAAGTCACAAGAAACTTCTTTGTTGCGACTTAGCAATGTTTTGTTCATGTTCTGAAAACATTAATCAATAACAACAATATACAACAACATTTATCAACAACACAATAATATACAACAAATAAAAAATAAGATTCACAAATGCAAGATATAATAAACAAAAACAAAAACAAAAACAAATTATGAAGTTTTGAGAAAATTAATCAACAACGACATACAAAACCAACATACAGCGACACAAAATATAATAAAATGTTTCAAGAACACACCTTTTTTGAAACTAATCATGGAACTGGAAGAAATTATGAAGTACATCTAGTTTATGATGCTATGAAGAAGAAGTACAAGGGTAATGAAGTTTATAAAATAGCTTCATACTTCTTGTATTTTTTTCTTCATAGCAACACAAACCATATTTGCCATAGCCAAAGTATGCGCTTTGTTAAGGTGGTGAAGACGAATCTAAAAAAATGAGAACATTCACCAAATGAAAAAATGAGAACTCATTTTTAATAAGAAACATAAATGAAATTGAAGCATAAGTTTAATGAACGAACCTAAAAAATCAAGGTAGCGATGGGTGAAGATGAATCCATGATAGCAGTCGAGGAAGATGGATGGACCTCCTCGGTTGTCTACTGATGGTGTTATACTATGGTGGTTGTTTGGTTCTCAACAGTGACTTTTGTTGAGCTATTTCTCTTAGCATTCTGAGATGGAGAACTCATATTGTTATAGCAAGGAATTTAAGAAGAATAGTTTGAAGAAGTGGAAATTCATTATATGAAAGTGTGAATTTATAGAAGAGGTTGAAAATGAAACATTTGATAATGTAATGCTTGCAATGATTACTTCTAATGGTTGATATTCTCGAATGACTTGTGATCGTCTTGAGAAATGAAGAAAACTTTCAATCATCATTGTATTCTTTTCTCTCTTTTGGGAAGAACAAAGGTTGTAAAATCATATTACAACGGTTAAATATAAAAATCATGATTAAATAGTTTTTAATTATTTATTTATTTATGAACTTAAGAGACACGCACTTTTTGTAATAGGAAAAATGGAAAAAATATAGTTGTTGAAATTTGAAGCTTGTAACACTTACTTTATCACCACAGTTGTTTACCTCAACCGTGATTAAATAACTTTCAAAAAACTAAAAAAAAAAATATAACTAGCGCATTCAGCTTGCAATATTACAACGGCGGAAAACCTAACCATAGTTGTATTAGTGTTACCGAAGGTGTATTTTGTAGTAGTGACAATTTGGGATGAGCATAATATTAGGGTTGTTTCTGAATACATGACTAGTTCATCATTCGCAACATGATTATGTTCGTCAATCTCTAAGTGATTACATTTACCCAATATCCTACTATCACCACATGTTCCTTACAAGGCCTACCGTTACATAAGTTAAGTGATCACTCATCCACGGTACACACCAAGGTACCATTGTGTATAAACATCCTTATCTAAGTTATTCGTCATAACTTAATCATCTTTCTAATTCATTCAACTAATTATGCTTCTAATGTTTTTTTAACAATCATCATGATTTTTTACTCATGTTATCATATATACACAACAATCAATTCATAACATACTTATCTAAATATCATACATGTAATATACCAAGTGATTCTTCTTAATATATCATGATTCTAAGTTAAAATACCTTAATTGAATCATGAACACTAAGTGTTCAAGGTAATCCCATGATAAAATGTATCGAAATACTTTCCCACATCCATTCGCGAATTTCCAATGGTTGCAACATATCACCTGATCTTTAATGCTCGCAGTTGCACTTCCTCAACAGTTATATTTTTGTATTTTCAAAACTAGAAAGTCCGCTCAACTTTCCCCCTCATGTAAGTTGTTAACTGATGTATTAGATGTAGTCTTATGACTCAGTTTGTTGAAGAAAAAAACGAGGGTGAAACTCTTTTTTTTTTACAAATTTTTTGTTTTAACTTGTATTTGTTTGAAATAGAACCTAAATAATACATTTTGTGAAACACGAAAAAATGACTCATTTTTGAATTAAAACTACATATACTTTATGTACAAAAACTATGCATGTTTACACCAAATCCAAATGGCACACACATTTTATTTTTACAACAAAGCTAGACATTTACAAATATTAACCAACAAAGGCAAAAATCAAAGTGCAAATTCTTGAACGGGCCTTTAAAAAGATATTAATAAAAAATATTCAAAAGTAAAATGAGCATTTTAGTATAATAAATATATATTATAAAGTCATATAAAATATTTACTTGTTTGTTTTTTCACATCTCTTCTTGATGATCATAACGAATAATGTAGCGTTATATTTCAAGGAGACCTAAAACTAGGCGCCCTTTTCTCACAAGTGCGCGTCCATGCAAAATTTAAGAGACTCGCCTGAAAGCATCCTCAACGTGAAAGTCAAGTAAGAGAGAGTCTCCACTAGTTCCTAGAAGAAAGGTGGTCAATAGTTTTCCCTAGTAAGAAGCCACTATCGTCATTGTTCTAGAAAACACATTACTATCTATGAATATTTAAATTAAATATAATAAAGTCATGGGTCTAAAAAATACATTTTTTTATAATCAAAGTATATTATAAAGGATCCAAGGGGAATCTCAACCTAATGATATACAAATATTAGGACAAAATACCAAAGTAGTAATAGACTTAAGCTACAACAACAACACCCAGCCCCTTAAAAAAGAAACACCTATTTCAAATAGTCCATCTTTTGCACCATTCATAATAGTTATATTTAGGTTTCTTTTAATGAAGAAGATCAAACCAATACCACCACGTGAAATGAAGAACACGAAGAAAGACTTCTTGTGGGATAGCCACAACATCACTGAATAAAACCCGGTTTCTTGTCCACCAAAGACACCAACAGGTTGTCAACCAACCCAAACAAGCATTAGAATCGATACTTTTCCACTAACTTTTAAGAACCAATCCAACATGTGCTCAATCGTGTTTGAAACCCCTGGAATAGATATACCCAACCAAACCCCCACCTCTTACCATACCAACCTCGATTTAAGACAACTTACAAAAACATGATCAGTTTCCTCATCAACTTTGAAAACAAAAGACACACACTTTTTCATGCGGGTTTGTAATCAGACCTCTAGGCGCAAGATTTACTCGTGAAGCTAGCCTATTCAAAATCATCCTCCAACCAAATACTTTAATCTTCAACGAAATCCTAGTTTTCCACAACAAATCCAACGCCATTCTCGAATTTGAGTCCAAACCTGAGTCACATGATTCATTGCTGAGAAGCCTATAGCAGGATTTTGTGCAAAACATATTTAAAGCCTCTCTTGGCCAACCAACACAGTCTTCCATCCCTTGGACAAGGTTCACTTCTGCCAGCAATATGACAAGGTCACACAGTTGCACTTCCACAACACCATTCATCTCTATATTTAATTTCTCCAACTCCCAATGCCAATGCCCATCCACCCAACTACCACAGTCTGCTACCGCAACCGATTTGCAGTTTGAGGCTTCAAATAGTCTAAAAAAAATACAATGTTCTAAAAAATATAAAAAAGTCATTGTTCTATAAAAAAATTCAAGTTCACACATGCATGTTCCCTCCTACCTACTAATACACTAAAATATATGTTGATCTAAGTGTGGATATTTCTTTCGATGGGTCAATAAAAAATTTACAAACTTGTCTTTCTTAACATACACTTCAACCTGTCAAAATATATCAACTAAGTTATCCTTAACAAAGTCATACTGATGTTTGAAACATGAAAGCTTCCTACAATGAATCATATGTTTCGAGAACATATCCAACCACATCTTACCACAAACAGGACATGATCATAATAAATAAAAAAAAGTAAAAAAATTATAGCATGATATCTAAAGATATTGTGATACTTTATCAGTGACATATATTGATATAATCCATCAATATCAATATTTAGGAGAAAATCTTGAGCATGTGATATTAGCAATCTATTAAAATTGCTTTCTATTTTGCTTATGACAAACTTTATTTCCATGTCCTAAATATTTTTTTGCAAATTCTTCAATACTCTTTAGTTTTAGTTGGATATCAATGTTAGTTGGTTTAAAATTTTAATTTTTTTTAAAAAATTAAAATAATATTTAAAAATAATATGATATGAACATTTTTATTTGATTACTAGAAAATATTAGTATCCAATTAAATTCAAAAGTATCAGAGTCTTAACACTATTTTAATTAGGAGAGATAACGTCGAAAATCATTAAAAAAAGCTTTAAAACATAATAAATTAAAAAAAATATATATTTTTTATGCTTTTTATTTTTTTTAAATAAAAGTAATGTTAACTTGTACTCTTAGGACACATGTTAAAAAAACCCATAAATAATTTTCATTTACAAAAAAATCAGTAAAATTATTAATTATAAAATTGTATTAAATTCACAACATAATTTTCAAATTATTTTATTATATTTATCTCTTAACTTATTATCTATTCTATAAATAAAAGTTAAAGTGAGTTGAAATCAAAAACCAAGCTTACCATCAAAATCTACTTTATCCCACTTCTTTTTAATCACTAGAAAAATTCATTAATACTAACTAAGAACAAGTTTAACATGTCATAAAGTAAAGCATTCGTTTGTTTTTATAGTTTGCAACATTTATAGTTTATTATCATTGGAATAAACTTACATGGTGGCATTAGCAATAGCATGCTTTCAAAAATAGGAATTACGGTATAGATCATATATTTTTTTTTTATAGTTTAAATAATTTAATATATTTTGTTTGTTAAAATTTTATTAATGAAACTTAATTTATAAATTCTCACTTGATTGAATAGACCACCATAATGGATCCTTTTGATGTTGATGTTTTAGAAGCTGCTTTGGAAAATAAGCAAGTGAGCTTATAGATTTCTAAATTGATTTAAACTTCATTTAGCGATTGATTTTAGGTTTTGTTTGATAAAAAAAAGTTGATAGTCGATAAGTTAGTGTTTATAGTTAATGACTGATAATTAAAATTTATAGTTGATAATCGATAGTTTATAACTAATAATTTATAACTGATAAATTAGTTGATAATTTATAGTTGATGATTGATAGTTAATAATTTTTAGTTGATGATCAACAATTTCTAACCGATGATTGATAATTGATAAACTAGTTAATAATTTATAGCTAATAATTGATAGTTAATAACTTATAGTTGGTGATCGATAGTTTATAATAATGATTGATAATTGATAAGTTACTTGATAATTTATAGTTGAAGACTGATAGTTGATAACTTATAGTTGATAATCGAACTTTTCATTTCATTTTGCGCGGTACTCTTAGTCCGGTATACATTTCTACCAGATTGTGCTCTTTAACTCGTGGTTATAATCCAATATTTGACTGAACATATTTTATATGAAATTTCAATTTTTTCGAGTCACTAAAATTAATTGTTATGTTGATCTATTGACAAATACTTATGTTAAAAACAATTCTGCATACCTAATCATTTGAGATATGAAAACTTTGCATCTCTTTATGTTCAACATCCTAAAGTATTTTGATATATGAAATACATTGTCTATATATGTTAATAATAAGAATGTTTAATTTTGATTATTTTTAGTTCACTTGATTAATAATTTGGTTTATATTAAAAGTTTGAAATATTTAACTTCTTGATTTTATTTGCATGTGAAACGAGTTTATCATCCCAACTTGCTAAGTCATCCTAAATATGCTCTCGCTAAGAGACAAATATTTGGTTTTGGTGGCTTTGCTTTGATGTAGGGTTTGTTCTTTTATTGTCAATAATTATGATTATAAAAATCGTTTTTAAATGTTTATTGAGATATTAATAGTAATTATTATTTTTATTATTATAATGGTTAATGTTTTTTTTAAATTTGTATATCTAATGATTGAAGATTGATTGATGGAGATATAATGAGGATTATAAAATTTGTAGATGCATTGAAAATTTCATAAATTGCTTCATCTTTTGAGGGTGTTGAGAGTGTTGTGAATCAACCTACAACTATGTCTTATTGATATATGCTTAATTCTTTTTCAATTTCATTATTTAAGTAAATTAACATAATTAATTATATTGAAAATTTAATTTAATTTAAATTTTTTGCCATAGAAATCTTCCAAGGCATGAGAGAAAAAAATATAAAATTTATGATAACACTGTTCGTTTCTGCATGGGAGTCGAAGCATATGAATATTTAAAAAATGATATTCTACAAACTTTTGAGGTCATATAAGACCTTAATCATATTTTCTTCTTTTTAATGTTTTTTTTTTATGACATATTTATTAAGTTAACATGTAACATTGAAACTCTAGATTGATGATACATCTATTGTTAAACACAATTGTTACTATTGTATTTATGATTGTTTTAATGTTTTAAAGTCATTTGAATTTTTATGATTGAATGTTGTATTGAGGGAGGGTGTATAATATGTATGTCAAAATAATGAAATTTTTTTTTAAAAGATGATTTTTTAACTTTGAAATTTGAATTTAATCAACAATAATAAATATTAAACATAAATACAAGAAAAGTAAACAAGAAACGACACTATTATCATTTTTTATGAGAAAATCAGTTACCGTAAACACTCCGTCATTCCTTGAAAAAACATAATGTAATGTATGAATATTTGAATTAAATATAAAATAGTCATCCCTTTAGAAAATACATTGCTATGTAAAATTGAACTAAATATAAAAAATTTATTATTTCTCAAAAATGTTAAATATAAATAGTATAAAAGTAATGCACTGTCGAAACACGTCTTACGATAATCAGATAATCATAATCAATAAAAAATTATTTAAAAAATCATAATTTAATATCTAAATATAGTGTAATATTCTATGAGGTAAATAGCAATTCATTATAAATATTTTGTACTTATGACAAACTTTACTTCTATGTCGTAAATATTTTATGGCAAATTATTAGATACTTTTTAGTTTTAGTTAAGTATTGGTTATAATTTATTTAAAATTTTATTTTATTTTTAAATAAAATAATATTTAAACTAATATAACATATTATATTCTGATTTGATTGCTAGATTGGTATCCAATTAAGTTTATGGGTTCAAAATCTTCAAAATATTTTAATTAGGAAAGATTACGTGGAAAAACATTAAAAAAAAACTTAAAACATAATGGATAAATTAAAAACATTTTCAGTGCTTTTTATTTTAATAAAAAATTAGAAGTTAGAGTGAATTGAAAACAAAAGCCAAGCTTACCATCAAATTCTACTTTATCTCACTTCTTTTTATTGACTAGAAAAATTCATTAATACTAACTAAAAACAAGTTTAACATGTCATAAAGTAAAGCATTCGTTTGTTTTTATTGTTTGCAACATTTATAGTTTATTATCATTGGAATAAACTTACATGGTGGCACTAGCAATAGTACCGACGTGCTTTCCTTAGTCAACATCAACTAACACAATTTGAAATATCAATTGTGATTAAAATAATAACTTAAATTGTTTTATAATATTAAAAAAATTAATTATAATCATATATGACCAGAGAGATCGCTAGACTGCTACGCGTTTGAGCTGTCGAACGGTAGACTTGATGAACAGAGAGGAGGTGTACCTGAAACACACTCTGATGCCAAAGTAAGTGACGGGCAGAGCGATTACAAGTACAAAGAAAAGGAGTAAGAATTGATTATCTGACCCTCTAGTAAAAGAGGGTATTTATAATGAGTCCCAAGCGCACGACCAACGGTTACCATGCATTGGGCTGGGTTGCTAAGGCCAATGTTGGTAACTGCTAGGGCTGACGTGGCATCGTAAAGACCAACACGTGATCTTCGCCCTATTGTAACTGTTTCGTGCTATCCGGGAGGTGGAAGATTGAATCATCAGGACACAGATAGTTACTTGATGACGTGTCTCCGCGTAGGGGACACGTAGAGAACGTGGGGGAGGCCTGAGGAGCTTCCCGGGCTGGCTGGCCTCTGCCCGACCGTGGGGCAGAAAAAGGTTGGTCGGACATCCATGAAGGTCCTGCCCGACGGTTGTTGGTCTGTGTCCGATGGGAGAAGATGTTCTGGCCAACGAACCTTCTACTGTTGGTTGACGAGGTCTTATTGAGCCTCCCAACTCGGTGGGGCTTGAGCCTGCTCGTCTATGGGCCAGGCGTCGGTCCATTCCAGAATATTAGCCTCCCAAGTCGTTGCTCGCAGTCAAGCGAACTATGACTTAAGGTGAAGTAGGAGTCAGGCACGTCGCTATGTCGGACATGTCGCGGCTATACCGGTCGGGCGAATCTACGACGAAGGAGAAACCTGCGGTCGAGGAGGGGTACCTGAAGAGACGCAAGGAAGGTGGAGGATCGCCACATGTCTTCCTGTGGAGGCTACGGGCTAGGTACTTAAGTGCCTAGCGACGCTTCCTTTCCCATGCTAGGGATATATATATATATATATATATATATATATATATATATATATATATATATATATATATATATATATATATATATATATATATATATATATATATATATATATATATATATAT